CTTCCCATCCCCGGCCTCTGACACCTGAGGGTGTCCCCATGTCGCCTCCCCTCCCCCCCCTTGGCACGGGCACCGCGTTGTTCCCCAAGAGCCGGAGCGCTTCGTGCCGCTGTCCCTGGGCCTTGTGGGGGGGTTTGGGGGGGGGGCTGCTGTGACACGAGTGGGGAGAACCGGAGCTGCGTGGGACGCGCTGCTCTGCGGCGCTGGGTTTTGATGGGGGGACCTTTCTCGCTTTGCCTTAAACCTTCTTTATTTTGCAGCCCTGATAGACACACGTTGTACATAGTAGTGTAAACTTAAAGGAAAGAATCCCGCTGTAAGCTGTAATTTTAAAGTCTGTGAATAATCATCAGCTGCTTAGGAGACAGGAGTCGGTGGCATCGCCTTTTTAACAGGAAAGCAAAGAGTTTCTGTTGGTTTCTTCTTCTTCTTTTTTTTTTTTTTTTTTTTTTTTTTTTTTTTTTTTTTTTTTTTTTTTTTTTTTTTTTTTTTTTTCTTTTTGGTCCCAGTTTATAAACCGTGTGCATTTTACAATTGCATTATCAAATATTTATAATCTTATGAAATATGAATGTTTCTATTTACAACTGTGCTCTACAACAACAACAACAAAAAAAAAGAGACAAAAAAAAAAAAAAGAAAAACTGTGAACGTTCTCCCCGCGTTTTTTTGTGTCTCAATTCTCGAGGATTTGCGTTCAATAAAAAAATAACAATAATAACGAGAGAGAGAAAAAAAAAAATCACTTGATGATGATGGTGATGACCTCCTAAAACGTGTCGCTAAGCTGTAGGGGACACTTCCAAGGCTGCGTGTCTCCGTGCGGCGCTCCGGATGCGCAGCGGACACCGCAGTGCGGAGCTCCGCGGTTCCTCCGCCCGGGATCCGTTCCGAGGCGGTGGAAGAGGGAGAAGCGGTCGGGAGCGGCCCCTGGAGCTGGGGATGGAGAAAAAAGTTTGGAGGATTCGTTTGGAGCCGAAGGAGGGGGCGAACGGCGACGAGCCGTCGGGTAAAAACCGTCGCCGTCATCATCGGGCTTAATAAAAAGGATCTGCAAACGGAAAAGAAAAAAAAAGAGTTGGAACCTCACGTCCCTGCAACAGGTTTCGCCTTTTGCAGACTTAATGCTCAGCGCTGGGGAAGGGACTTCGGGAATGTCCCCGGAGCGCAGGAACGGGGCTGTGCGACGGGAGGGAGAGCACACGGAGCCCGACCTCGTAGGGGAGGGGGCAGCGGGCAGAGCCCGGCTCGGAGCTGCCGTACGAAATACGTTCCGAAATACGTCTGAATTTCTCGTTATTTATCCTCGTCTTCCTTTTTTGGAGCCTCTTTGGGCGACCCCCTCCCGTACGAGGGGCTCGCAGCGTGCAGCGCTCCAAGGGACGGGATGCGGGGACCTCTTGAAGTCCCAGCGCTGTTTTTGCGGCTTTTCGGGTTTGCGTGTGCCTTCCAGGAGCTCCGCCATGGGAACGGTGGGCTCCCAACCGAAGGGAGGGCGGAGGGGGCGGCCGGCACTGAAAGCCTTCTGCGAGTCGGGACGGGACGAGGCGGCCCCGAGGTGCTTACAGGGGGATTTTGGAGGAAGACACTCAGCCCTCCGTGTGCCACGGGCAGAGCTCCCACCTGTCCTCACCCGCAGCGAGCGCAGCGGGAGCAGAACGCAGCTGTGCAGGCAGGGAAATGCGCTCAATTTTAGGTTTAAAAAAAAAAAAAACCCAAACCAAAACAAACAACAAAAAAAAAGAGTATGGAAACTTATCCAAGCGCTTCGTCTTCTGGTGGCGACAGCCTGAATGTTTAGCAAAATATCCGAGAGAAGCGAAGCGTGCAGCTCGGAGCAGAGCACGGACGTGCTGGCTGCACTCAGTAGCTGCCCTCGAGATTTTGGGGGCGAGTTTTACGGGGAGAGGCACAGCTCCGGGATACCGACCCGTTCTCCCCATAGTCGGGTTTGTGCCGCTCCGGGCAGCGCTCCCCCCGGCCGATCAGCGGCTCCCTGCTGGTTGGGGAAGGACGGCCCAACGAAATTAGCCCTCGTTAATTTAAAATTGAAAATTAATTTAACAGAAATAGCTGCCGCCCCAGCCGCCTCCTGCCATTTTTAGCAAAGAGACGCCACGTTGCCAGAGCAGGAAAAAACCATCAATCAGCTGAGCTGTTCCTAAAGCCCGACAGCGGCGGGGCAAGGGAAAAACAGACAGGGACGGAGATAGGGACAGGGATAAGGACAGGGACAGGGAAAGGGACAGGGTTAGGGATAGGGATAGGGTTAGGGATAGGGATAGGGATAGTGATGGGGACAGGGATAAAGACTGGGATAGGGTTAGGGAAAGGGACAGAGACAAGCAAAGTGATAGGGATAGGGATAGGGATAGGGATAGGGATAGGGATAGGGATAGGGATAGGGATAGGGATAGGGATAGGGACAGAGGCAGGCCCACGGCCTGGCAGCATTTCCCTGGCACGCAGCTCTCTGCCAGCTGGACAGGCTCCCTCCTTTCCAAGCAAAACAGCAAAGTCCTACTAAAAAAATAAATAAAATATCAAGCAAAGAAATGAGAAATAAATCCAACAGCCTGGAGCCGAGTGGAAATGTATCCGCACTGCACTTGTGCAGCCCCTCCGTGTAATTAATTAAGCATATTTTTTTGCCATAAGTATGTTCAGTGAGCATCTGAGCAGTAGGGTTAGTGAAGATGTTACTGCGCTCCGCTGTACCTGAAAGCAGTGTATGGCACATGCGATACACACACACGCAGCCAGGCACTATATATGCAAATACCCGCACCATTTATAGTGAAATGCATATCAGAGGTAGAGGGGGAAACTATTTAGCCAGCTCGGGTTTGTGGAAAAAAGTAATTCTGTATCCCGCTGATTTAATATCCGACCTCCGCATTCAATCCCCGCCCATGCAGCTATCAAAAGTACCCCTGGGATGTTGGGATATCATCTCCAAACTAACATCTGTGATTATGAAACGCTCAGAAGGGGAAGGTTAATAACAATTTGTTTCAGAGGGGCACGAGTCAATTTTATAAACAAACCCGCGTTGTTATTTATTTATTTATTTATTTTATTTGTGAAAACAAACAAACAGAGCGAAAGGCACAGCCCGGGGCGGGGGGGTCCTGCCCTCACTCCCCCTCCCTTTTCATCTCCCTCCTCCCCCCCCGGAGCAGCGCGGGGATGGGGGAGCGCTCGGTGGCACCGCTGGCTCCGACACAAACATCCACCGGCGCTTTGTGGAGTTCAAGGCACTCCTCCAGTTTTTTAGTTTTCTTTTTTTTTTT